TCCTGGATGATTGTTAGTCGACATGTGGGTGCTGGGAACTGAAGCCGGGTTCTCTATAAGAGCTATCTTTCCAATTCTGCCTTTTAAATTTTTTATTATTATTGTTATTACTATTGTCTATGTGCATGCATGTACACATCCCAGAGCCCATGTGGAGGCCAGAGGATCACTTTGGGGAGTTAGTTCTCTCCTTTCACTGTGGGATCTGGAGATCAACCTCAGATCATCAGGCTTGTGCAGCAAGCGCTTTACCCTCTATGCCACTCCAGTGACCCCAAATCTGGGTTTTCATTATCACCTAAATGTTCCTATAAGGACCTGAATTCATCAGTAAACTTCTGTTGAACTGAACTCTTGAATCACACCAGTCATATGGAGGCCATATTAGTCCTTTGATTTTAATGAGCCACTAGTGGCCCCTGAGAGCCCATCACTAATCTCCATGACAACTTTTGTACTAGATTGTGTTATCCTTGCTTTAACAAATTCGGAACTGGGGTGCTGAGAGACTTTTGCCATGGGTTATGCAGTCTGGAGGAGAGGACTGTGGGCAAAGGACACAGACATGAGTGACAGCTGTCCCACCCAGGCTCAAGCACCCAGGAAACAGCATGTGACTCTTTGGATGTCCCTTCCTCAGTGGCAGCAGCCAGGAAAGTTCTGGGCTGTGGCTGGTGCGGCGACACCATAGTGGAGGCTCTGTGAGCTGTTTCTAGGGTGATGGCAGAGTGTGTGTCCCCAGGAGCCATGTGACAAGACAAAGATGCTTGTATGAAACAATGGGGCCTGAGACTTGTTTATATGTCCTAAAGCTTATCTTTAAGCTTTATGATTCATGCAAATCATATGCATGAATTGGTTTGCCTAAAGCCACATCTTAATAAAAAAGAAGACCCTAACTTCAAACCTGTGGTGGTTAAGAGGAGAATGTTCCCCACATTCTCTCATGAATACCTGACCCCAGGGTCTGCTGTTTGTGGAGGTCTAGGAGGTGTGGCCTTGCTGCAGGAAGCACTTCACTAGGGAGGGCGGGTGAGAGTTCATAGCCCTGTCCCATTTCCAGTTTCTCTCTCTGCTTCCTGGACCTGCTTAAAGATGTGAGTTCTCAGCTTCCTTTGTCAGCCTCTTCTGCCACCATGCCTCCCCACCATGATGGGCTCTTACCCTCTGGAACCATAAGCCAAATAAGCTCTTTCTTCTATAAGTTGCCTTTGTCATGGTGTTTTATCACAGCAACAGAAAAGTCAGTAATACACAACCAGACACTATCTGCTTACTAAATCCTCCTCCGTTACACTCTAAACTCTGCAGGAAAATTTTTCCTGTGCCACAGCTTATAATGCAAATAGAAGAGTCCATCAAATAGATGCTGAAAGCTCTTAGAATGTGATGGTAATTAAGAACTTTGGAACCAGAGAGACAAGAGACAGGTATGGGGGAGGTGAATGGGAGTCTCCCCATCCTTCCCCTGTGGTTGCCCAGGATGGAAGTCTTTGTTTTCCAAAGTTTTCGCATTCCTGTAACCTTTGTGGCCATAACCTTGCTTAGTTATCACATGTACTCTTTACTTATTTGTCACCTATGTGCTGTTTTGCCTTTTGCCTGCATTTCCTCACATATGAATATAAAAACGCCCCACCCAAACTGGAAGGGGCTACTGACTCCTTTACAGAGGATCTGTGGGTCAGTCTGCTAGTGTAATATTAAACTCCCTCTCCTCCTCGTCTAACTTCTGCTGTGGTCTCTGATTTTTGCATAACAAATGTACCATGTGACTCTATGTTCATCTCCAGCAGTGGGTACACTGGAGTCAACCTGAATTTGATGCAGGAAATAATCACGATTTCATCACTTACCCTCACTTCTACCTCTCTGTCATTAATCATAAGGTTTCAGTCTCCTGGTAGAGTTTAAGAACTGCAAAGTAAGCCACACATCTCAGAAGTCATGAATTAATTCCACTGAGGGCTCACTAGGCTGAGGAAGTGCAAGGTAAATTTGAATTCGCTTCCCTCTCCCATCAGCCCACATCTCTGCCTTCAGGTACAAAGCCTCTTCCCTCATCAGAAGTTGATGGCTGCTTCACTAAGGACTGCGGTGCACTCCACTGCAAGGGGAGCTGTTTCTTTCCAACCTATCAGACTTTAGTGCAATTTGCAGGTCTTTTCATACCAAAATTATAGAAAACACCTCTACCATGCCCATTTTTAAGAGAGGTGAAATAAGCCACAGGAAACTGTGGAATGGTAACTCGCATTTTCTTTGCTGCATCATATTTTATATGAAGATTCTGATTTCAGGTGCACATTTACTTGGGAAGTTTTTCATATTAATGAACATTGTCTTTGCTTTTGAAGTTTATTTTCAAAAAAATTATCTTTTAACCTAAATATTGCCCTATAGAATTTACAAAGCGTACACAAATCAACCAACCATGACTCTCCTGAGCAGGTAGCATGAGCCAAAGCTGTTTAGGTCTGAGGTAGGTGGAAACAGTGTCTGTCTAAGGAGTCTCAATGTCCCACCCACACAGTCCAAGCTCATTCTCCCTGGCAATGAGCAGACCTGGACAGACACTCAAATACCCACTGCCCTTGTAGACATTCAAATCTACACTTTTTTCATTTCAATAGCAAGTTTCCAGAGAATGACAAGTTGGAGGGGATCAGCTTCCCAAGACATTATAGATAGATAGATAGATAGATAGATAGATAGATAGATAGATAGATAGATAGATAGATAGAGATAGAGATAGAGATAGATATAGATATAGATATAGATACATATGATGTCTCATCAGTTGTCCTTTGAGCCTCGACAGGGTAAATTCATCTTCAAATTTATCTTCGTTGCTTTAAATGTCTAATTTGAGTGCTCAGCCTCTGAAATCAATTTCAGATGTCTCTGAGGAGCTGGAACGAATAGCTCTCCTGCACTGTATTAAGTCTGAGGTGGGGAGGGGAGTGACTTCGTCTTCACATACTTTCAGTAAGATGGGAATGACAGCAAAGACAGAAGAAACCTGACATGTTTTCAGGAGCATTAGCATCACTGAACTATTAATATTACTTAGCATTCATTATTCACAGAACAGGACAACCCGACTTTGACCTCACATTTCAAAAAATGTATTGATTGGTACGAGGACAGCTTTGCAATTAGCTGGAGGCAGCTTGGAATCACCCTCTTGAAACCCAGAAGTTCATTTCCTGGTGCCCCCTCCATCTGGGTGGCTGAAGACTGGACAGACGTGCTTCAGAAACTAGGAAGTTCCAGGTGAGGGGACCAGAGAAGGAAACAGCCTCTGCCAACCTCACTGGAGTTGCAGATAACAAGTTCCACCCGAGTGTTTCCTGTTCTAGAAAACGGGACAGATGCTTCCCTGACAGTGAGGTGCTCATCCAGGAGAACAAAGCAACCCCCTGTAGTAATTAAATGTGTCTATTGCTCCACACACAAGACCTGCACAAGATCAAGCCAGCTGGAATTCCAGTGTGGATGGGGAGTGGCTCACACAGCCCCACCTCTGGCTGAGGAGCTACTGGCAGATAATGGCTGATGGGAGAGGAAAACTCACTCTTCTTCAGGGATGCTGGCCCTGACAGGCTTCCCATGCTCCAGTGGATGACCATACACCTACACACGTCCAGACAGCACTACATGGACTCAGAGGGTATTAAAGTAAAAAGAGAGACTGCACAGGAAGTTGGGAGGGAAAGGCGGTTATGGGGGAGGATAATGGGGAGATGGGTTGGATCCAAACATACTATATACATGTATGAATATTTAATAAAATATTTAATTAAAAATATCCCCTGAAGGGGCTAGAGAGATGGCTCTGTCAGTAAAGTGCTTGCCATGCGGCATGAGGACTTGAGTTTCTTCCCCAGATTAAAAGCCAGGTATGGTGGTATGTGCTTGTAATCCAGGGCTGAAGAGGCAGAGACAGGTGGGTTCCTGAGCTTGAAGACTTGCCAGCCTAGCCAAATTGGTGAGTTCCAGGCTAGTGAGACCCTGTCCCAAAAAACATAGTGTTGGCACCTGAAAACAATACACGAGGTTGACCTCTGGCTTACACATGACAGAGATATACAGACACACACACACACACACACAAAAGACACAGATATATGGGCACACATACAGACACAGAGATACAAACATACACAGACACATAGACACACACACCAGTCACAGATACACACACAACACAGATACATAGACACAGACACACACACACAAGACAGGCACACATACAGACACAGATACATAGACACAGACACATACACACAAGACAGGCACACATACAGACACAGATACATAGACACACAGATCCACATACAACAGACACACACACATACACATAGACATACAAAGACACACACACATAAACACAGATACACACATCCACACACACATCCAGTGGAAAGCAATGGTAAATTCTGAGTCCAGGGTATAGGGAGGTCAGGGTGAAACTTCTCCCTCTCATCTTGTTTATGGGATAAAATGGGCCCCAGCACCAATCAAGCATTAGGGACAATGCAATTAAAGTTACTTGTTGCAAGAAGAAGCTTATTCTATGAGTGGTGTATGATACACTTACACCTAAGACTCGTGGAGCATAGTGGAACGGGGGGTAGAGAGGACACTAACACATCTCTCAGCTCTCACCAGTGAAGCTTCCTCATGCAACAGAGTGCTCTGCACACGGAAGACCACAACTGGCCAAAGTATAGAGAATAAGAGACCGCAGGGAGCGCGTCCCGGGATAGGACTCCTACATTAAACCTCACCCATGTTTGTACAACATGCATTACATGAACAATAAACAATATTGCTATTATTCACAATTTGAGGACTTTCTTTTTAGAGTTTCCAGACAATATGTATATTAGCTACTTTTCAGTTGCTATGATAAAATGACATAGCCAAGGCAACTTGTGGAAGAGTTTATTTTGCCCTATGGTTCCAGAGGGGCAAGAGTCCATCATGTCAGGGAGGCATGGCAGAGTCAGCCAGAGATGAAAGCTGAGTGCTCACATCTTCAAGCACATACAGAAAGCAGAGAGAATAAACCAGAAATGTGGCTACGAAGTTGTAGAGCCCACCCCCAGTGACACACTTCTTCCAGCAAAGCAGGACCTCTTAAAGACTCTATGGCCTCTTCAAGGAGCACTACCAACTGGGGACAAAATGTTCAAATATTTGAGCCTATGGGGGACATTTCTCACTCAAACTGCCACAATATGGAATCATTTAAGACATTTAAGTAAGGGAGGCACATGACTGGGGAACACCTTAATGATTCCTGGCTACCATGGCACTGGGTTTATCTTCATAAGCCTTAACAGAGACTTGGTTATCTAAAATATTTCGTCACCAGTTTACCCATATATCCCTTCACTCACTCAGAATACGGTGTCTTCATAACTTTTCATTAACTTGCTGACCTTGATAACGCTTACTGGCCTCATCCATAAACTCACCAGCGTCCATACTTCAGGGTACCTCTGGGTAGATTAGATGTTTTAATCATGATTATTAAACTTTAAGTACGGCACAGTGGGTACCTGCTCACTCTTATCGTTGACTTTTAGAATAAAGACCCATATCTGCTTCTTTCTGGCCACTTAGACTTGAACAACTTTGGATCTCGGTCAGCCCTGACTAACTGAGGGATGTCACCTTGGGGAGAGGCTTGGAGGTTGAAGAAACACAGGATAGTTAACTAAGTCTTGAGCAGGCTCAGAATAAAGGGCCATTCTTCTGCGCACTAACGTGCCTCCGTCGTGTACTAAGCTCGAGCATCCCTTTGCTCACTCCTATCTAGATTACTTGGCTTTGCCATTAGACGCTTGTTTAAGATTACTGCTGTGATCAGTGTTAATGGAGGAGAGGTCTCAGAAGCCACCCAGCCCATTCCTTGATTTAAAGTAAGGAGACACGGGGGACAACAGAGCTCTGATGTCACTAACTACAGTTGCATAGAAAAAATACAACTTCCGGACCTCAAGTCCCCCAATCCTGCAATCAAATATTCAAACCTATGGGGGACAGACTGTTTCATTCAATGAGGTGTGGCAGATCCCAGCTGGAAATAGCAAGCCCTTGCAACAAACTGGATCTCAGGGAGTTTTTGAGCCACAAGTGCCTGTCTATCAGGTAAGTGCTCTGCCTCAAAGGTTGAGGCCAGAGCCCTCAGATCCGGTTGCAGAGTGTGTGCTGCACCAAGTACAGTAGTGCCCCACCTGCCTAGCTCTGTGAGCACAGGGCATGATCCAGTCTTTGGCTCCAGGAGCCTTGCCGGCTTCTGATGCTGTGAATCACCCTCCTCCCAGATTTCCAGGGTCAATACAAACAGAACAATCACCTGGGTGACGGGAGTCTTTGATGTTTTCCATCTTTGTTAGTGCACAAAGATGCAGAGCTTGACCTACTTATGTGTTCCTCTCTCCTCTGGTCCCCAACAGGACTCTGGCTGGATTTCACTGCAGAAAAGCTGAATTTAGATAGTGCCTCCCTGGGGAGAAATTATTAGCACTAATCCTCATCTTGGAACAAAAACAGCCAGGCCAAGCGGTAGTAGAGCTCTGACTCCCTGTTCCAGATGGGCCCTCCAGTCCAGGTCCAAGCACAATATATACAGAGAAATCCACGCTGCTTACCTGGAAAGGGTCACGGTATTAATATGCTAATTATAGGACAGTTGGCCAATTACACTATTTTTTATGGATCCTCAATGAATGACAGAATGATTAAATGCCATTTTGGTCAGTTTTCATGTCATTTGCCCAACTTCAAGCCCATGATGGCTCAGCTGATTTCTCCAGCATCTCCACAGGCCTTCAAGGCTCCTCATCAGTTAGTCTTGGCTTAACTTCTTATTCTTTAGCTGAGACTCCCAGTGGTCCTTGTTACTGGAAGAGAGACATTCATTCCAGAAGTCAGACCAAGGTTAGGTAAGGAATACCACTCCAATTATATCTCCATTTGTGATCCCTAAGCCTTTACAAAGACCAGTAAGACACATGGAGGAGGTGAGGGGGCAGTGAGGTGACAGGAGATGTCATCCCCACATGAGAAGTGAAAGGAAAATTCTGACTCAGAAACAAATGCTGAGAAAAATCAGAGAAACACGCACACATGTGTGTGGGATGTTTGTAAGTCAGCTACTTACAAATGGAAGTTCATAAACCACACATCCCCACTGAAACAACTCTGTGCAGACTCTGCAGGTTCTGACCCACCGCTATTACATGCCTTTATTTTTTGACATAGAAAACCCTCACAATAAATTAAATTCTGAAAGGCAGGTTATATACAGACCGATCCTGCTATTGTGTGAGACATAAATCTCTTAACACAACTTACCCTCTAGTTTAAGACATAGGCTAAAAGCACCAAATGTTCTTTGTTAAAATAACTTTTTTTTCTGCTCCTAGAAAGCCACAGCATAGAAAACTGCTAATGTGGATTAGCAGGCCAGGGTCCATCCCAGGCCACAGTTGAACTTGACAGTGTCATTCACATGGTGTGGCTTTAGAGGCAAGAAAGATGCAAGAGTGAAGGGATAATCAGTTCTTCCTCCGCAGTTTCAGAGAGCCACCAAGACCAGGCAGCATGCAGCAGGGATGTGCCTGCATAGAGAAGGCCCTGACAGGCCACTGTGTGAAGCTGTGAAGGGAAGCCTGGTTGGCAGTGGAGACCCCAAGATGTTGGAGATGTTGGAGCCGTGAGACATCTGCCAAGGAGAGCTGCACATAGGGAATGGTAACAGCCCGAGGGAGAGACGCATGTTGCGCGAAGCAAAGCTGGAGAGACTGAGCCATCTAAGCCCTTTGGAAGTAAAGTTCCAGAAGTCATTTTTGTGCCTAGTTTTGGCCCAGTATTTCCCCAGTATGTTTCCATTCCATCCTTCTTCAATGGGAATGTGTATTCAGCTCTGTTGCATGTGAGAAGTATGCAATTTGTCTTTTGATTTTCAATGACTGAAGAGATTTCCCTGAGTCTCAGAAGAGACTTTGGACTTTTGAACAGTATTTATGGGCACTTTTAAGGACTAAATGTAGTTTGCATTTTATATGGTCATGAGCCTATGGGGGCCAGAGACTGAAATGTGATGGTCTGAATGAGAATGTCCCCTATAGGCTTCAAGCCTTTGAACCTTTGTCCGCAGTGGTGGCACTGGTTTATGGGGTGCAGGCTTGCTGGAGGAAGCACATCACTGGGAGTGGACTTCGAGAGTTACTAAACCTTTCCAGATTCCTAACTGCTCTCGCTCCCTGTGCCTGCCTGAAGATGTGAGTACATGACTTTCAGCTCCCCCAGGCCTCCCCTACCATGATGGATTCACTGTCTGGAACTGCAAACCAAATGACTCTTCCCTCTATAAGTCACCTGGCTCATGACATCTTATCATGCAACATATGTGTGCATGTGTTTATGTATGTACTGTTGTGTATGTGGGTATACATGTATGTATATATGCATACGTATGTGTTACTATGTGTGTATGTGTCTGTATATGTTTTTGTATGCATGTGTGCCTGTATGAATGTGCATATGTGTATGTATGTGCATGCATGTATCTACACATGCATGCATGTGCTTGTATGTATTATGCATGCATACGTGTGTGTATTTATGTGTGTGTGTGTGCATGTGTGTGCGTGTGCATGTGTGTGCGTGTGCGTGTGCGTCTGTGTGTGTGTGTGGTGGTCAGGGATAATCATCAACTTGTCAGGCTCTAGAATCGCCAGGGAGCCAGGCCCGGGCTTGCCTATGAGGATTACCTTGATTACCTTCCCACTATGGGTGGAAGCATTGCTTGGCTGGGATTCTGCACTGTACAAGTGGAGAAGGGAAGCTGAGCAGCAGTCTGCATCTGACTGTGACTGCAATGTGACCATCTTCTTCAGATCCCTCTGACCTTGCCTTCCTGCTTGATGGACTACACTTCAAACTGTGAGCCCAAATAAACCCTTTCTCCCTTAAATTATTTTTGTTAGGATATTTTATCACAGACACAGGAAAAACAAACTAAGATGATTTATTTATAATACAGGGCTTCATGCATGCTAGATGAGCCCCCTGCCAGTGGACTACATCCCCAGTCCAATATGTACTTTAGTTTTCTGAGGAACTGGCAAATCACTTCACTTTCCCACCAGCCACAGGAAGATTTCTCTACATCCCCAACATCTGCTACTGCTCAACTATCATTGTAACCATCTTAATGAGTAATTATTCAGTATCACTGAGGTTTTGATTTGGACTTCCTTAATGACTAATGTTGAGCATATCTTCCTGTCCAGGCTGGCCACTTGTATACATCTTTGGAAAACTGTCCATTCAAATTATTTGTTCATAGCTAGTTGGGTCATTGTGGCATTACAGGAGCTCCTGGTGGAATCACTTCTTCAGTCTGCCATCAGTGCCCTTCGTGGTTGGATGGATGTTTGTTCATATCTTCCCAGGAAGTCACACAACAGATGGTTTGATCTTGATAGTTTCTTTATCTTGGCTCTTGTGACCATGAGAATTCAGATATCTTTTTAGGTGTGATTTCATTTCCTGTGGGGATACACCTTTCTCTGGATATATGCCAAAAGTTTAGATTTAGAATTAAATCTCTCCAGGGCCTCCTAACACTGTTAAACCAAGACCCTGGTGTACCTGACCTCCCCAGACTTTCTTTGCATGTTCTCTCTCTCTCTCTCTCTCTCTCTCTCTCTCTCTCTCTCTCTCTTTTACCTCTCTTTTCTTTCTCCTCTTTCTTACATATGCACTAAACACCCATTATTTTACCAGTAACAACAGTACCCAAATTTCTTTATGTAAGTATGCATTAAATATTTTCACTTAAAAAAAAAACCTGTGTATTCCTAACCTGGCCAGTGATGTAATTCAGACTCAGGTAAGAGGTGGGGAGCTTACCTGACTCCATACCACTGGCTAGAACCTACTATGTGCTAATTGTATTATTCATTCATTAATCCTCCCAATCATTCATCTGTCCACTCATTAATCTATTCATCCATTCATCTACCCACCCATCTGTCCATCCACCCATCTATCCACCCACCCATCCATCCATCCATCCATCCACCCATCCACTCACCAATTCATCCATTAAGCCATCCATTCATCCACCCATCCACCCATCCATCCATCCATCCACCCATCCACTCACCAATTCATCCATTCCAATACATCTGCCCATCCATCTTCCTGTTCAAGCCATCCATTCATCCACCCATCCATCCATCAATCTGTCCATCTATCTATCTATCTATCTATCTATCTACTATCTATCTATATGTCTGTCTAAATGTGTCATATATATATATATCTACCTACAGCCTATACATCATCCATCTCCCCATTGTATTGATTTATCATTTTTCTATTATCCACCACTCCATCCTATCATCTATCTATCTATCTATCTATCTACCTACCTACCTATCAATCTATTGTCTGGTAGGTAGATAGATTATGTATCTATCTACCTACCACCTATACATCACCCATCTCCCCGTTTTATTGATTTATCCTCTATCTATTATCTATCACTCCATCCTTTCATCTATCTATCATCTATCTATCATCTATCATCATAATCCATCTTTCCTTCCTATCTATTTATCATCTCTCTCATCTATCAAATTTAGAAAACACTGAAAATCAATGAGCCAGAAAAAACTCATCCATAACCCTATTCTCCTGATATCAGATCTATAAACATTTCCATGTGTTTTATTCCATCTGATTTTCTATAGCCATACATGTGTATATTTTAATTTTAGTCTTGCTTTCTCTCTTCCAAAACACTGTGAACATGTTACATGTCATTAAGTCTCCTTCTAGAATATGAGTCCTAATGGTTGCTTAGTATTCTATTTTATGGCTACATCATAAAGCCCCTAACAGCTCCAGTTCTAGGGGATATTTAACTTGTGTTTCTAGAATTTCAGCCACATAAGGAATGTAGTGGATCTGTTTATGTATAGGTTCTGCATGAAGTAATTTATTTAGATAACTGTGATTGCTTCCTAAAGAAGCATCACTGGAATTCAAACTGATGAGTCAAAGGGAAAAATCCTCTAGCAAGTATCTGATATGAATTATTAAGTTGTCAGAAAACTCCCAGAGATGTGCTCTCCCACCAGCATTCACTGTAGAAGGAAGCATCACCACCCCACCAGTGCTCACTGTAGGTGGGTCCTATAGAGTCTCCCCGGCAGGTCTGGCCGGGTTTGGAGTCCATCTTGGGCTGCAAGGAGGAGCAGGAAGGCAGCACTCACACAGGAAGCCGTGGTCCTGATGCTAAGAAGAGAGCTCCCCAGTTTAGAAGCAAGTCTGGGATCAGGCTGTGCTCTGATGTCACTCAGCATCCTGAGAGGCAGCTCTGTAACTGGAAATGATCATAAACATCCAGTCAAGACTCCAGGGGGGCAACTGGGGAAAGATGTTTTTCTCCCACAGAGCCTCATAGAAAAGAGATTGCTGGCATCGAGGCAAAGATAGTGAACAAGTGGTCAATCTGAAGCAGAATTAACCAGTAATGAAGGGAAGGACTCTGGTGGTCTGGCTCCTTATGTGTCCCTAAGGTCAGTTTCCTCCTCTGCCAATGGTTTAATAAGGCAGAATCTACGAAGTCTTCAACATAGTGCCTAGTATGTAATAAGTGCAGTGTGAGTGATTGAAGAAATGAAAGAAAAATCTTGTGTGTTTAGGGCTTTATTCGGTATCATTGAATTCTCACAACTCAACTTTGCCCTGCAAAGCCAATATTGCACATCCAATTCTGAGTGGGGAGCCTTAGAAACGTTAAGCAAATTACTGAAGCAAAAAGCTAAAATCATATACGGAATGACTGGGATTGAACTTGGGTCTCTCTACCCCAGTGAGAAGAATGCGTACCTTCACAATACATGACACAGCTCACGGCGCTCACGGCGATCCCTTTGTTTACATGTTTGTTTGCTAAACTTGAACTGGAATTGAGTAGAATTCACTTCTTTAAGAGAAGAAGAATCTGAGAGTTAACAGAATCCAGCCATTGCCCACCGCCACAATCAGGTCTGAATTTAGCCCCATCAACCCAGGCTCCTGATCCCCAGACCCCAGCATCCGTTCACCTGATTAAAGTCTCAAAAGTGCTCCTTGCCTTTGAGAGTGTGGGGTGGAGTGCATCTTCCATCAGAAGCTGGGTTAGTACATAAATAAAAATGAACTGGGGCCGAGAGGGGTGTGGCTTGTGGAAATGTGATCCAAATGCTGCAGAAACATGGTAAAGAGGAGTCATTCTGTTCAGGTGAGTTTTGAGAGCCTTGGAGGGGCTGCCAGCATTGAGAATCCCTTAAACTTTTGAGGGCGATGTGTGAACAAGTCATGGGGGGACCCAAAGGAGTATGTGAGAGGAAACAACAGGTTGGGTTGTCATGAGAGGCAGTCTACTCCTTGCCTATCTTTGGATCTCTTAGAGAGCTAGAGTATGTTGCAGTCTGCACAGACAATCCCAAACAGACCCCTTTGAGTTCCAAAGAAAATGCTATCCATGGGCCAGGAGAAGGTGGAGGAAGAGTTGGGGGGCAGGTCGAGGGTCTACTGTAGAAGCCTGCCAAATCAGAGCTGGGAAGGAGAGACCAGAGAGAGGCTTGATTCCAAGCAAAGGTAAGACAGTTGTTAGAAGACAAAGCCCCAGAACGCTGGACTGGGCTGGGTCCTTCTTCCCCAAGCTCTAGGATAGACAGGGGGACGCCAAAGCAGAAGAGGCTGGAAAGGGACAGAAGCTCCAGGTGTCCTGAAAGTGCGGGTTCTCTCTCAGTGTGAGTACATAGTCACCATGCTTACTCTGGGCTCCGCACTAAGCAGAAGATTCCTTATTTTTAGATTTCTCTTTCAATCTTGAAAGAGAGGAAAAGAGCAGCAAAGAACTTCCTGGTCAAATCTTAATTCAAGCCGAACTTTTAAAGAAGAGTTGGTATGTGAAACCAAAGGTTTTACAGACATTGAAATGGAAAACTGAAGTGGGGCTCGTGGGGTTCGTTACACACAGAGCAGAAGGCACCCGCCCAGCCTGTGTGGCACTTCCACATTTGAGCTGTTGAGTCAGATGCACAGTGGCATTTGACTCTGGGACCACTCCTTCTGACAAGGCTGAGCCAGGCCTTTCCTTTGGCCTGAGGTCTGTGCCTTGCTGAAGTCTAGGGCCTATAGGAGCTGACTCTCTAGTGATATGTAGGCTCAGTCTGGAACTTCGTGGGTTCCCTCTGTCATTGCTGCAACACAACACCCAATAAAAGCGACTTAAGGAAGGAAGCACACAGCACACTGTCCTTGGGGGATTTTTCCAGATCCAAGTCAATACATTCTTTGGTTCTCTAAACTCAGTTGGAGAAGAGAGCTCAGAGGAAGAGGCACTTTGCTCTGCCAGAAAACCCCAGAAAGAAGTGTGCTTTGACCTACCAGCCATGAGCTCTGCTGGTCTGTGGCCCACCTGCCATGATAGCAGCCCAGGGACGCGTTGCTCTCCACATGCCATTCATCCCCACATTTACCACCCAAGAGGGAAACCAGAAGAGGGCTGTTCATACAAGAAGCACCATCTGTTCAGAAGGAAAAGGACGGTAGAAGTACTGCCTCAACACACCCCAGGTTAGCATCTTCATAGCCCAGGAGGTTTGAGGATGTAGTGTGTGCGGGCCCTGTCACCACAAAGAAAAGAACAGACCCACGGCACATCTGCTTGGTCCTGACCACATTCAAGCATGAGATCTGGGTTTGGGAGAGGTGGTTTAGATGTTGCTGGTATTCTGCTCTGGAAGATGATTCATGCCATGTTTGAGAGTCCTAAACCTGCAGGTAGACACTTGTGTCTACCCTCAGTACCCTGGCCATCCCCACTGACTTCTTGTAAACAGATACAGAAAAGGCCCCAGATGGATTTGCAGACACTTGATGTTCTAGCTTCTTCCTAAGCCTGTATTTGAAGCTGGGCCCTGGGGACTGAGAGATGCCTACCTAGCTCACGGGGCTCACCATGGGGAGCTCCTGATGGAACAGAGGACATGGCCACCTTATTTCTAGATCTTGGTCCTTAACAACAGTAAATGAGTTAGAGATCATTACTGTTTAAGATGGTGCTGAAGAGAAGGAATGCAGGAGATAGCAGAAAGGGACCCCCGAGTTTGGAAAGTTCCCTGGGGAAAGCTAAAGAATTGGTGCTTGGTCATGAGCCAGGGATCTTATGTACAGAACTTACACACAGTGACTTGCTTAACTTCGTCTGGAATGTCTTCATTATCAGATGCTGTGTGTCTCCTGTGATTTATTGCACCCAAGAATGTGATAGTATTTAAAGGTGGAAACTTTAAAGACTTGGGTAAGGTCATCAGAATAACCCTAATCCACTAAAACTGGTCTCTCTAAGCAGTAGACACTTGGGGTCTGGGAAGATAGCTCAGTCAGTAAAGTGCTTGCTGCATACTCAGGAGGACCTGTGCCAGGGAGGCAGAGATCAAAGGATCCCTGGGCTTGCTGGCCAGCAAGCCTAGCTTCATGGGCAAACTCTAGCCCAATGAGAGACCCTGTCTCTAAAACAAGGTGGATAACACCTAAGGAATCATGGCTGAGATTGACCCCTGGCCTCCATACACATGTGCACACAAGGACACCTGAATACAGACATTCACACCCATACAAACATACACATATACACACATACTTCACACACGTACACAGAGGCACATATACATACACACAGAAGTGGAAACCACTCCAAACCAAGAGCATTCTATAAACTGTGGAAAAGACACAGAAGAAACCACACCTGCTCACATGTAGCCCTTGGACCTCTGGACCTGTGAAGGAATACATTTCTATCCTTTAAATCCAGCAGTCTGTGGCGTTGTTACTACAGTTTCAGCCAGGGAATGCCCGCCCTCTGGCCGAGGTTTCCTGGGTTGTGGGAAGGAGGAGTCAAAGCAGAGAAGACAGATGTACCAGGCACCAGTGTGTGTTACTTTTGTTACATTTTGACTTCATAACGGACAGAAACGTTGGAGGGAAGGTGTATTTTGACTCATCCCTCAGTTCTTCGAGGAGGGAAAGGCATGGCTGTGCTGCTATCTACAGAGGGGACTATGAGAAGTGGATTGTTAGAGGTGGAAAGCAGGAACCAGAGGTGGGGCATCCATCACCTTCAAACGCTCTCTCCTAGTACCTCCTTCTGCCATCCAGCCCAGCCCCCTCCTGGGCAGGGATACCCAATATAGCCCTTTAGCTACATGCTTACCAGGATAGCCAGGAATGCCCCCACCAATCCAAAATGTAAGCGCACTTATAACAATATGAATATTTTGAGATTTTTTTTAAAAAAAGAATTGCTGGTTTGGTTCTCAAGGGTAAACGTAGAAGACAATGTCTTTCTTAATGTCTGAAAGTTTGCCTTGTGTAGTGGTTTTAATGAGAACTGTTCCCCACAGGCTCATGTATTTGAACACTTGGCTCCCAGCTGGCGGTGCTGTTTGGGATGCTTACAGAACCTTTAGGAGTAGAGCTTTGTTGGAGCATGGGGGCGGCTTTGAGGGTATGTAGCCTTGCCTCACTACCCCACTTCCTTTTCCCTCTCTCTGCTTCTAGTGTGGGGATGAAAAGTGGTTATGCCTTCCCTGCATGATGGACTCTGTCTCTGGATCTGTAAGTCAAAATAACCCCATTCTTCCTTAAGTTACTTTCAGTGATGATATTTCATCAATGCAACAGAAAACAAAACCAGATCAACATGCCTGAGGTTGCATAGCCTTCTAGAACAGCATCCCCGGGTAAGGGACAGATTGGAGGGGACATTTCAGATGGAAACCCTAACAGTTGATTCAGGTACCACCTCATGTGGAGACCTCCCTTACCCACCCTCTTGGTGTGGAAGTAGAGTAGATAAGACATTCAGAATATCCAGGGTGCTCCATTTGAGGAAGAGAGTCTAGGCTTTGTGTCAGCAGTGGAATGAACAACAGCTCCTTCCCTCAGGACACATCTGAGCAGTACAGACATCTTCCCACAGAGCCCCATGTCCCACTGTGGAATCTAGTTTGGGGAGCACCATCCTTCTTCCAGGCTGCCTGAATCCAATGGATTCATCAGACTCAGAGAAATTAAGCTGAACAAGCCATGTCTTTGCCACACAAGATGCTGGCTGAGCTGGGTTTCCGTCTTGGATTTTTGGTCTTAGTTCCCTGTACAGTTTCCTTTCCCCAGTTAGATTTACATCAAAACTCCCTTATGCCAGGTGGGTCTTTCCATGCTATTGTGATGGGAGGTAATTGTCGGGTGTGCTTTCTTGAGAACAGTGTAGATTCTTAGTTAATAATCACACGTCTCTAATTCAAACAAACTGACCTAACTGAGAAG